CTTGTGGCTTTGCTTTATTCCTTAAAGGAAGAAAATCACCCTGGTTTAGCTCCTTGTGTTCCTGTATGGGATGGGTGGACTGTGATACGCTCCTGGGACCTGCTAGACCCCTGGAGGAGGCATGTTTGGGGAGAATTATCTCAGTTTCTATCTCATGTCTTCTCTCACAGGAGGAGAGAGCTGAGGGTTACACGCCTGAGCTGGGAAGAGGTTTGTGTGGGGAGCCTTGAGTGGAAGGTTGTGGAGCAGGCCCTGCAGGATCCCATCTCCCCAGCCACAGAAGGGCTGGCCAGGCTGTGGAGGCAGAGTCACCACGATGCTGCAGCTCTCTGCTGGGGAACAAGAAGATGCCTGCTTGGGACATCAGGTACCTGTCACCTAGAAAGCCCAAAGGCTCATGCTATGGGGGGAGGTTTTTTTGAGAGCTTCTGTTGAGTCTCTAGTCTGTTCTCTCTGGTTGTTTTCCAAAGCAGTAGGAATCACCAGTGGGATCTAGTCTATCAGGAGCCATCTCCACCTTCCTCATTTTCCCATCTGTGAAACGTGGGTGTTCCTGGGGCCGCTGTAAAGATGGACTAGATAGGTCTGTATCCTGAACTCATTTCTCCCAGGGACTTCAGTGGGATGCCCAGCCCAGAACAATGGCAGGATACACGACCCTAAACATCCCTGCAGTGCTTTGAAAGATGAAAAGCAGTGACTTTTTCTACCTATGTCAGTGCAGGGGCAGGGAAACGTTTCATGATGTTTACGGCAGGCATCACGGAGATTACACATGAAAACATGGGAAATGGGGCACTTTTCTTCTAGGGAGATAATCTTTAATAGATGGCAACGAGGAAATAAAAGCATTTTGTACACAACAGCCTACCTCACGGAGGGGTATGTTTGCTGGAGGAACGTGGCTGCAGCCACAGATGTTTCCTCCAGAGCCAGAACTGCTGCACGGAGCTGTTCCTTCTGAGGAATCAGAATAAAAGAAACCCCAGCACATGCTTTTCTTTCTCCTCCTCCTCCTCCTCACCCTTTGCTGCAGTGGTGGGGAAAAATGCAGCCCCACTGTTAAGATTTTTCAAGGGAAATGTTCCCCTAAAAACATTTGTTTCTCCCTTTGGAGCAGTAGAAGATGATGAAAAAAAAAAAACCCACCCCAAACCCCAGACATGATTTGAAGACAGTACTTAACCATCCTTCTTCTGAGATGTTTTATTGGTCTCCAAAGATAATGGGCTAAAGCCTCTGCTCTTGAAGTCTATTTTCTGGGAGGGGACAGGGGCTGATGTGCCTGGAGATGCTGGAGGGGTGGATGAGGACCTGGCTGTGGGATTCAGAAGTTCTACTCCCTCTTCACTCTGACAGTGAGATTTTTTTTTTTTTCCCCCTATTTCTCTCCATGGAAACAAACTCTGACTCCTGTCACTCCGAGAAGACTACACAGCTTGTTTATTGGCCGTTGCCTTTGGTGGATTGAAGCTGTGTGGCCTTGTCTGTGTTCCAGGAAATGCATGGATGTAGCTGTCTGAAGGAAAACCCTGATGATTGTATAGTTTTCAGCACCGAGTGGCAGTTAGCCACCTCGCTTTTATTGTTAGCAGATCACCATGTGGCCTCACTGCTCTGTGCCACACACCACGCTGGGACGAACTTCATTCAGCAAAAGAAGAACCCCCTTCCAAAGTGACCCACGTTCTCAAGCCAAACGGACCTTGTAGGGTCTCTATCCACCCAATGCTGTTTTCTCTCCGCATCTCCCCCGCAAAGGAGGAGGGGAAGAGGAGCAGAATCCTCCTGGGAAGCTCATGTCACACCTACTGTGGTGGCTGAGCTGGCTTTGCCCACCCCAACCAGGCTTTGGAGCCGTTCAGCATCTTTCCCCGGCGAACCCTCCGAAAGAGGGGCGTGCAAGAACAACATCCCAACTTGTTTGTGCCATGAAAGGAGCTGGAAAGAATGCACTGAACCACATGACAAGCGAGGACATCGGGCTGCTCAGAGAACAGCAAGGCCTCCTTTTTAATTCCTTCTGAACAAAGTTGGCTCAGCCAACCCTTTCCCATTGTGCTGCTGAACTTCTCTGCTCGTCGCCCAGCAGCGCAGCGCGGGCTCCTCTGCTGCTGCAAGGGAGCCCAAATCCAGGCTGCCCATCTATCACCAGTGCTTCAGGACCTTCTGCAGCACCCAGGCACTTCTTTGTCACTGGAGATGGTTTTATCCTGAGTCTTAACCCCCAGTCTCTTTCTGCAAGGGCAGCATGGTATCTTTGCTCCTGAAGTGCTTAGATACCTTCTCCTCGTTGCTCCAGGCACAAGCAGTCACAGAAAGGCCATTACAGAGAACTGCCTTGAAGCTCTGCCTCAAATCCTAAACTTTTGCTGCAGTCACAGCAAGAAAGAAAACCATAGGATGCTTTGAGTTGAAAGGGACCTCAAAAGGTCAAAAAAGAGGGGAGGTGAAGGCTGGTATCCACCTGAGATGAGGCACAAACTGTATCCATGCAGACACAGCCACATTCAACCTGCGTGCCAACAGCAGGGCTGCAACTACAACAGGTACAAAATGAAGAACTATTACTTGAGGAAGAGTTTTCATTTTAAAGCCTTTTAAATTTACACTGCAAACTCTTCAGGGCATGAACTTATTTGATTGTCAATAATGTCATAGTCTTGGTCTGGACCAAAGCGAAACATAAGCAGGCTTCAGTTCTTTGAGTTTCATTATGAGATCAGAGTCCAAGGTTTCACTAAAATTTATTGCATTTCAGAGTTTTGTGGATTTAGAGAAAAGTCAGAAGCAACTCATGTATGACCAATGTCTTCCTGAGCATGCAGAGAGCCTGAAACAATAGATCTAAGAGATGCAGGCTGCCCCATTCACTTTTTCTTCAAAATCTGGTTTCCTCAAGTAGGAACTTGGTCAGCCCACAAGAAAAAATCCACATCACAGAGCTAAAGACACCAGAAGGCCATGTAGGCGTGTGCCTGGGGCGGTCTTGCAATATTGAATTAAATGGCAATTTAGCATCTTGCACTGAAATGTCTTTCAGCTAAAGAGGAGTAACTTCTCCAGCAGCAGCAGCAGGAAAGGCCCATCCTTGCAGCTGCTTCCCTGGCTGCCCAAGACTGAAATGGCCTTGACTTTGGAGCACACGGGCTCCAACTCCAGCTGTGGTGGCACATGCTGCACTCCTAAAGGTGTGAGCTCCACCCTCCTCTTCACAGGTAAGCTTGTGGAGCTTTGCTGCACATCATGCTGCTTTTCTGCTGAATAGAAATACTTCAGTTCTTATTTTCCCTGGGGGACTCTTACAGCAACCCCAAGGTGACTTCTGAGGGCTCTGCCCTCTCTTGAAGCAGAGATGACAGAAATGAACTTGTCCCTGCACTTCAGTTGCTACCAATTTGCCAAAGCTGCTGGTGAAGGTGGGTTTGGTGAAGGGGGACCTGGAGCAGCTGCTACTTTGGATTAAAATCACATTTTAATGGCTTTAAGATGTCATGGCCCAGAAGACCTCGTTGTTGATTAATAACCTGGGTCAAAAGTGACTACTTCAGTTGGAAATACTGTTATAACATCATCATTATTCCAGTTCATTCAAAATACTGGGAGTTTTCATGGGCAGAGTAACTGCTTTTTAACTGCTAAGGTCCCCTGGGCATCTTCACCAAAGTCAGAACATCAAATGGTGATGTTACTTCTCTTGCCATCATTTGGAAGGGGAAGGCAGTGATGTATAATTCTTTTTGGCTTTGCTCTTCTTCCCTTCACTTTCTAAGCTCATGATGTAACCAGTATGTTTAAGTGGTAACATAACCTGAGAAAAAGAGCATTTTAGAGCATGGCACTGGGGGTTTTGTTTTGTTTTGTTTTGTTTTCCAGGATTTATTCTTTTGTTGACCTTACAAGAAGTTGAAGCAAATGCTTTCCCTGAGCCCCCCTCTATCGTTTACTCTGTAATGAGAACTTTTTATTTGATACTGTATGAAATAGCTGACCCTTGAAGCCTAATAATGTGCTTAAAATATACTTAACAGTACCCTCTGGCTCAAAAAAAAAGTTTCCAACTCATACTTAAAAAAATATCCATTTCGATGCTTACTTTGACTACATGCCCAGCATCAATGGCAAAAGTGCTTCTGTTTAGAAAGGATGGTTCAGCCAAAATTCAACTTGTTTTTCAGGAATAGGAAACTAAAGATTTTTTTAAAAAAGTAATAAAAGCTGTACCAAATAAATCATGATTTTTCTTTACTCTGTAAGTGAATGTGCACGTGTGCAAATCTTACTGTTCAAGCTGATACCTGGGAGCACTTGGACCATGGAAAGCTGCCCAGTGGTCAGCACTTCCATGCTCTGTCTGCTTTCCATTTCCAGGACAATGATCCATGTTAATGTGATTTCATGGAGGCAAGGGGACCACCCCAAATCAGGAGACAAGACAATCAGGAAAAGCATTTGTTTTATAATTATCTGCATCCATGAAAAAGGCACCAAAGTGTCTGGGGGGCAAAGCAGAGGAGAAAACTTTTGGAAGGGAAAGTCTTCACTTCCCTCTGCCAGACTGAAAAAAAGAATCAGCAGGTTTATAGAGGGCTGAACTAATAAAACAAAGCTGATAAAGGAGCTTTGATAAATCTCTCTTCCACCTGCTGTTAGTAGCTATTGCTAGAGCTCAGTGGCTGGAATATTTTCTGCATCTGGCTTTTAAGCTCAACTCCCAGTTTGCAGGTACAACTTTCAGATGCTAGAAAGTGACCTGTGGCTGCACATAGCTACCAAGGGGCAGATTTTTGATCTAACAACTGTACCCACCAAACAACAAATCCCCTCAAAACCAGTGAAAAACAGAGAGAGGGAATGTGGGTACTTTGTGGGTGACTGTTTAGAGCTTTGTAGTGCAGGCCACAGCAATCAGAGGATATACTAATACCCTTGAAAACTGAGGTTGGCTTCTGACAAAACAATGAAAACACACCTATTTTTCTCCCCCCCTTTATTCATACTCATTTCTGACTATTGTTTTCCACTTGCCCTTTGTTTCTCTGATTCTTGGCCAGCTCAACTCGCAGGGTATTGCCCCCAAGGCTCAAGCCTTTCAGAGAGGACACTGCCCTCTCTGCAGCTGCTTCATCCTTGTAATGGAGAAAAGCCCTGTGCTGTGCTCCTTGCCAGTTCAGTTGGAAAGGAGCTGCATGGAGTTCCCTTAAAGCACATTTCAGCTCGCTCACTCTGACACTGGGAGCTATGTTCCCCACGTACACAGTAGTCATCACATCAGATCCCTCTGAGCTAGGACTCAAAGCATCCCTTTCAACAGAACCTTGTCCTGGTTGAGCTGAGCCCATCTCAGCCTGAGGTCTCGTGTTTTCAGCCATCACCTTCTTGCTTACTGGTGTGGTGGCCTCTGCCAAGCCTGAATGCTCATCTCTGAGGGTCACGTCCTTGCCAGCCTGCTTCTCTCTGTATCGAAGACTCTTCAGGATGGGAATTTTTCCCAGCATCTCATAGCTGACCTAAAAAGGAGGGAGACAGATATAATTATGAGAAGAGCAGATATAATGATGAGATTTCACGCCTTCCAGAAAAAGACAACAGCCATCACGATTCATTTGTGCCCTAACAAGAGAGGAACTTTATTATATTGCTGCCATGCAGAGTGCCAGAGCATTCAAAATGTTACTAATTGCTGGCCCAATTCTGAAGCTGCTCCTTAAGTACACACTGCAGGCTAAAAATAACCATTAGTTCCTCTTGAGGCAAGTAGCACAATGCAGATCCAGCAGGAAAATCAAAACCCAACTCAGAACGATCCCATTTTGATGTTTATTTATCAGAGTACTTTCAGATTCTCATTGTTATCCCTTAGCATTTGCTTTGACCGAGGGCCTGTGCTCCTGCTCTGGCAGAACCTTCCACGCCTGCCATTCACCAGACACTTTCATTCTGCAGAGCTCCTCACACTGGTTTTTTTTCCCCCCCCAAAACAGGATATCCCCTAGGCTGGGTGGTACAATGGGGAGGGCCGATGGTGTGAAGTTTGAAGTGCCCTGTGGCTGGGCTCCTCCGAGTGTGGGCCAAGCTGGAGACACGTCCTCTGGTTGTGGCAGATCACCACAACCTCCCTCTGGCCGTGTGACCCCACACAGCACCCTCGGCCACTCGGCAGAGCTGCAGCAGGCTGCTGGGCTGGGTCACAGCACGGAAGGGTGCCTGGATTCTGCACTTCAAAACGAGGAGCCCTGCGTCCCTTCCACGCGCTCCCCCAGTTCACAGGCAGCTTTTTTGGAAGGTTCCTTCCTCTCTGCAGCAGAGCCCCAGCCATCTCAGGGGGGAGATGCCCCAGGCTGCTCTCGGGGACTGGCAGGAAGCTCCGTGGTTCCCTCGCTCATGTGGTTGAGCTCTTGGCTCGCAGACAGCAGCTGGAAGGAGGAATAATTCATACTTGGCTGCCGGACAAGCAGAACATCCATCAACACTAGATCCAATTCTTAAATTTAGGGAGCAAAACAGAGCCTATGGAAGTGATGCCTGAGCTAGCAGAGACCCAAGCTAGTAGCCCACACACTGTGAGCAAGCTACTCTAGCAGGGTACTGCACTGGACTAGCACCAGTGTACCCTGGCCAGAATATGCCTGCAGATCTCCCAGCTCGGATCTCTGTCACCTCAGAGCTCCCAAATTCCTGGTTCTACAATTACAGCCAGAGTGGGTTTGGATCTGGCTGTACCACATCAAGTCTTAAAATTCACAGATCTCTAGGGAAGAGAACCCCAGCTCTGAAGTGACTCAAAGAGAATCAAAGACAGGGTGAGGGCAGTGTCAGGTTTAGGTAATGGGAAAGTCAGTCAACAAGAAGCCTCTGAAATGTTCCCAGGGCTCCTCTTCCAAGGAGCAAACCAGTTTGATTTCAGGGTGAAACTAAAAAATATAACTTACATAAAGCCTGTCCTAGCTCTGTGTTGTTCATGCAGTATCCAACAGGACTAACCAGTATGGGCAGAGGCCACCTCCATCCTGGCACACTGCAGGCCCAGAGTCAAGGTGTTTGGGACCAGGCCCTTTAAAGCAGCAAAGCTCATGACTGAGAACAGTTTCTGCCTGACCTGGCAGGCTCTGGGAGCCTCTGCACTCAGAAAGGTACATGCCATTTGCAGGTTTGTGAGGAGTTATAGCTTTGTGCATTCTTGGACTGATTTGTTTTTTCTCAGCCAAGAATTCAGAGTGCTGTGTTTGACAGCAAACTCCCCTTCCCTGGGTGACACCACATCAAACCCACAGCTGAAGCCATCTTGCTTTGTTTTTACTGGCCAACCATTAGGAATATTTGTTGTCCTCTGTCAAATTTCTATGTGAAATGTAAGCTCTATGCTAATTAAACCAAACAGGAAAAACATTTTTCTATTCTCATGCAACTCATCACTCCTGAGCCCAAAACACAACCTCAGCCTCTTACCAAGTGTTCTCTGGAACTCTCAGTCTCTCAGAGCCAAACTATGGAGAGGATTTAGATGATCCACAGGCCAACACACTCTCTAAGAAACTTCAGCTGGTCAGGCTTCAACACGGCCTCTCCTCTCACTAGAAGGACCAGTAGTTTCTGGTGTTTGACTGGAGCTCGTGGAGCTACTGTTTCAGGCTCCCTGCAAACTCAGGCAGATGTAATTGCAACAGCATGTGCCTCTTCATAAAGGCTATGGACTGCTGTCTTCTATAAAAGCTGAAGTTCTGATCAAACACCACCACAAAGTGAACCTGCCATTACCTTAAATTCAGCCCTGTGCAGATAGAACAGTAAGAAGCCTTTACAGAAGCAACAAAGGCCTCTGATTTGGCACTTGGATTTTTTCTTTTTAAATGGAAAACATGCCATAAAAAAGCTACATTAGACAAGTTCTGACACTGTCAACTGACATCCTTCTGCCACAAAAGAGAGACAGAGGATTTACCTTAAGGGCTGTTTTCCCTGGGGTCTAGGAGAATCTTTCAGCTGGGCCAAACCTTTCAAATATCTCCCTGGTTTTCCCCACTTTCATCTCAAGGAAAGGCAGAAACTCAGTTTGGGATTTCAGAGTTTCAATTCAACGACCCAGTTCACTGCCTTTTTTAGGGTGCTGGGGATGAGAGCCAAAAGGGTGAAGCGGGCAGTGGGTGGCAGAGGAGAGGAAAAATCTTGCTCTGCTCTGTTGCAAACTAGCAAACAAAAGAACTCTGTGGTCACACAATGTGTTGCTAATTACGAGCACGCAAAAAGTTTCTTTTGTCTTGTGAGCTGTGGAGGATTGCAATGATTTATTTCCATGTGGTGAGAGGCCAAAGATATTCCTCCTCTCTCTCAAACAAGCTGCACGTTCCTTGGTCCTGTGCTGGCCTGTCCTTCCTCCCTAAGCCTTGCCTACTGCTTTAGCCTGGGTCAGGATGCAGGGACTGGGGTTCTACCCCAAATCTGGTTGATCCAGTCCCGTGGACCTGGGCAAACCCAGTGGTGGAAGCTTCTTCCCCTGCTCCCCTCATCCCTGTAGAGTCAAGGCCAAACCATTTATTGATGTTTGTAAACTTTGTATTGAGTGTTGGGATTTTGTCTTTGGCAGTGAAACCAGCTGAAGAAGTTTCCTATTATCCCTTGACCACCAATTCCCAGGCCAGTTCCACGCTTCAGCCCTCTGGGCTTGGCCAACAGAAGCCCTTGTGGGTCTGTGCTATAAACTCAGTAACTGAAGGGATTCAGGTTAAAAATAACTCCACCAAAGGCAATTAATCATTTAACAACCCTGCCTACTCCCTGCCATAGCTGGGAGAGCCTTGGGGAAAGAGGACAGCAGGGTAGATGAATTCTTCTGGCACACAATTACCAGGCTATGGGAAAGGAGTTGAGAAGGGAAACGTGGCCCCTTTCTGACAAAGACCTGAGGAAAATAGAGCCTTGGATGCCAAGCACCAACACAAATCTCCCAGCACCTAACCCTGAGCATCCACTCTCACGACACCTGGTTTGGTCCCCAAAACAACATGGTGGCAGATGGGCTTCTGCAACATCTCTGCTGGAACACGGGGGCTCTCCTCAACCTCTGTTATTCCAGAACAGTGAACGTAGCCACTTTCAATATTTTCCTGGGGAAAATGAAAGATGTGTTTGTCCTCTGACAGAATGAGGAATGCTGGCCCCTGACAGAGAGCGGGCCAAGCCAAACACCGCTGTGGTTGCCCTGGCAGCAGAGGCAGCACGGTTCTGCCCCAGGGCAGATGAGGGAAGGGCAGCTCTGGAATGGAGAGTTCTGCTCTTTAATGCTGCTCACACAGCCACCCATCTGCACACACCAACCCAGAGAACAACATGTGGCTCAAGGTGCAGACAGACGATGCCTCCAGCTTGCCCTGTGAACACCACCAATCTCCAGTGCAGCAGATCCACCAGCCCTTCTGAGTAGCAGGGGATGTCTGAAAGATTCATCTCTGCCCACCCTGAGGGGTCTGTGGCTCAAGGCTCTTCATAAAGGCCTCCAGAGCAGAGCCCACTTCTCCTGTTGTCTCCTCAATCAGCTGCTGGTTTCGAGGAGCGCCGAGCTGACAGGGGTTTAAAGCACACACCCAGAGCCAGGGCCAGCAGAGCCAAACGTTCTATCATTCATACACACAAAATGTCCAAATATGTGCAGGCAGTCTGAGGGCATACTTCTGGCAGCTGGCAGCCCACGAAGTCTGCGAGTGTCCCTCAGGAGAAACTTATGCAACCCACATTTGGAATCCATCAGCAAAAAAAAACCACGATTCCACGGACCCTGCAGGGAGGGTCAGATTTGCAAAGGTGTTGAGACGTGTAGAAGGATGCCCTGCTCAGGCTATCCCTCCAAAAACCAAACCAAAACCAAACCAAACCTTGGCTAAACTAACAGCAGTTCTCTTCTGATGGCAATGCTGTGTCCCTGCTAAAGGTTTTGGCAGCTTGAATGTGTGATTCTGATTTTTATTTTTTTTGTTTTAGCTTTAAAACAGCATCGTTTTACTTTCCAAATCTTCTATCCCAGCCCCAAATCAAAAGCTGTTGGTTGTCAGATAGTTTCTACCTCTGCCACTTTGTACTAAACTTTTTCAACATTTGACCCAGGGATTCTCCCCAGTTCATTTCAGGAAAAAAAAATATTTTCCCATTTCTATAAAATTCTCAGTAAAAGACTGATTTAAAAACCAGAAGGAAATGCTTGCTAGAGGATAGTGAGTTTTCCATCAACTACTCTCATTTCCCTCCTCGTGACCCCAAATATTTTAATTGCTGTGTATAGTGTCTATTTAAAATAAGCACAGCACAAATAACTTCATAATTGGGACAAATATAATGGATAGCATCACAGATAAAGATCACAGCTACCCATAGAAAACACTAAATGAGAAAGTAAGTCACTTCATGGACTTAGAGTTCCCAGAAACAATGGGTTAGATTTTCAAGATAGATGAAGCCAAATAATTCTCCATTGGCCTCCAAATAAAGTTTTCCAGAGTGCTCAGCTTTTAGCAGCACACATTGATTTTTCAAAACCCTGAGCTCAGATGCAGAAAACTCACCCACAGCCACTCTCCAGTGCTGCCTTTCTTTTCAGAAGTGTTCCTAGAGTGCCTGATGCTGATACTGATAATGCTTCTTTGGTATTAATAACATTGTAGTTCACCCCAGCCCAGTATCTGACAATACTCTACTTCCTACAGAGCACACAGGAAAAAAAAAACCACTTCAGGAAAACCACTTCAGCACCTCTGAGTACAGCAATCCAGCCTGCAGACAGGCAGTTTGTTTGCTGTGTAAGTACCTTCCTACCTCCCCCCAGCTGAAAATAATGGCTGTTTATCCTAGCAGCTTCAGGAGAGCACATCCTTCACAACAACTCTTCCCTCTAATCCCTTGTTTGAAAACACCTTTAATTTAGGCTCTTAAATCTTTGTCTTGCCTTGCTCCAGCCATGTTCCTGAAGGATGAAGTGCAAGGTATTTTTTCTCCCTGCAAGGTATTTTACAGATCACACCTCTTAACAATCAAGTTAAGCTACTTTCTGTTGACAAAACACCATATTTAGAAGCCTGTTATTTATTTACTCACTACCTCTTGGTTCATTCTGTTTTGTATTGAGGAACAGGAATGCACCAGTAAAGCCAGGATTTGAAGGAGAAAAGGATGTAGAGAAAAGGATATAGCAGCTGCCAGGAAAAGTCAAAGGACAAACACTTAAATAGCTGGAATCAAATCCTGCATTTTTAACACCCTGTTGATTAACTAGACCTCCCACCTCCAAGACCTTCTGTGCAAGAGCTGAACACACAGTTACTACACAACAAACAAACAAAACATAGGCAAGTCCTTCAGCTCTCTGTGAAAGAATAATCCTCATTTATTTCTTCTTCATATAGACGTGACACTTTGTCCCAGAAAGACAGTAATGTAATTATTACCCTTGCTCTACCTAATATCCTCCAATAATCTATCAAGACAAGCCCGGAAGAATAGCCAAAAAAAATCTTTGGGTGTTAAATCAACATTCAGATACTTAAAGACTCAGTCATACATTCTGCTCCATTTTCAGTGAAAGCTGCAGAAAATTCAGTGACAGTTGTCATCTTCAGACAACACCACTAATGCAGAGTTGTGGCAGATACTCCATTAGTCTGAGGCATATTTAATAAAATTGATGTTGATTTCTTTTCCTCTGAAAAGGAAATGCAAAGCTAACATTGAATTTGATATGTTGCCTGGCACTGACCGACTTCTCAGGAGCAGCAAAAGTTCCCAAAAATTCAACAGCCCCTGCAAGACACTGTGTTCCCCAGACCTCTGAAAAAAATGTTGCTGCTAAAGGGAACCAGACAAAAATAAAAAAAGGAAAAAAAAAAAAGTGCTAGCAAGGCCACTTACTGAGGCTGAAGTCTGACACTAAGACAGACAGACTGATCAAAAGTATTTTGGCAAGATGAATGGAGCAAAAGGGGAAGGCCTTTCAAACAATTACATTCAATAATATCCTAAAAAAATTACCATTCAAAAATAATTCAATGGAAAAAATGCCCTAGTACAGACAGAGCTTTTATTTATTTATTTATAACCTCAAATCCTCAACCACAGGCAGGGTAAAATACTCTCCCATCCTAGGAATAAAAATAGCACTGGCTCAAATTGTTTGTTCTAGATATGTTACCTTAACAAATTTAACTCTTTTTAATGGTGGTCAAGTGGTGAAACAAATCCTGATTTCCCTAGAAGTATTTGCTGGTGATTCCTCAGCAATTCCTCCAAGACATGAGTGCACTGTTCCTCCTTTCAGCATTCCT